TTTTTTTTCTTCCATCTAAAATTACATTTAATTATATATATATATATATATATGAACGAAAAAAAACATTATTTGCTAACTGAAATAATACTGCAATAACTTTTTACAGTTGAAAACTAGCTTTGAAATTAGCAGATAATTAACTGGTTTCAAAGTAAAACTTGTGATGTGATCGGGAACTAAATACAATATATGCACCCTACTTATCCTCAACAATACTTAAGAGTTAACTGTACTAACTTCAGGTGAATACTCAAGCAAAATCCACCATTAAATAATATGCATATATTTCCATAATTTAAATCAAATGATTACAAACTTTGATACAATTAGATAATTAAACAAACACAGCAAAAATAGGAAAAATGAGTGGGTATAAATATTCAAAGCACTATCAAACATCATATGCATATCTTCCACAATGTTGCATATTAATCAAAATATTACAACTTTCATTTTATGAGATTGTTAAACAATACTAGGAAATTATATGTTTTAATACATCAAGTAAATTTTAAGTCTAAATGAGGATAATAAAATGCTTACAACAGACTTATTTACTTATGAAATTGATACAGATCCCAGTTGAAAAACTAAAGTAGCTGTAAGGAACCTTACATCTTTATTCTCAACAGATTCCACATCCATGGGCTCTTCTTTGACTAAAGCAAGCATAGCAAAGTTGGCTCGTTCCTGTGAATCTGCTTGGGCAATAACAGATGTGGCAGAAGGAATCAAGGAAAAGCTGGAGACACTTTGGATGCTTGTTCCACTTACTGCTGTTACTAACACAAGTTCTAGGCACTGTTTGATCCAGAAGTGTTGCCCTACAGTTTCCCAATTTTGTGAACATGTGATGTACAGCAGCCGCTCATGAAGCCTTTTTCTCATGCTTTCATCAAATACTTCAAAGAATTTTGCTCTGATGTGGGGCTGGACACACCTGAGTCCTGCCATGAAAGCTGGTTCTAATTTAGATGTTAGTTCTGAGCCTTTCAGATTTTCATCTCTGGAAATAAATAACTTCATATTCAAAAGTTGAGGTTAAAAAGTACAAACAATTTGAGAATATTTTCTGAATGATTACTGTAATAATTGAAATTCATGTTTATGCATGTAAGTGATCATATGAAATACACTTATGACTTAATTCATACTATAAAGTTCAAAATGGTTAAAATAAAACACAACATAAAATGTTCTGAATCAGTGTAAAGGTCATTTCTCATGTGAGACTATTTACATAAGAACCTCCCGTGTTGGTTGAGTAAATAATGTATCAATAAAGATGTTTCATGCTGAAAAGACACTAGTTACAGCAGTGCTTCACCAAACAGTAGAAAACTTGTAACTGTATCTATTGAAAAGTGAGTTATGGGTTTTCATTGGTGCTATTCCCAATCCTGTGTGAAATGTTGTAAATAACTACACACCTATCACATCCTTATTGATTATCATTCTGTTTGTTTCTTGTTGTTTTCCACAAAAATGATTTACAAAACGAAGGGGATAACAAACAATACTGACTGTTTTATGAAATTTAGGAATGATGCTGCACTTTCATGAATACACGATTGGTTTAACACAATACCTGATAGCAAAACCTTTTACAAAATAAATGAGAGAAATATCAAAGAACAATGTCAAAAAATGAGAAAATAAGCTGTAAATTGTATTTCAATGAATATAGTTAGTGTCTACAACAAAATTCAGCTTAAAATAGGAAATAAATGTAAGTAACAGCTGATGAAAAGAATTGATAATGCATTGAAAGTAGCCAAAGAATTGAATGAAGACTTTTTCTACCCCAAATTTAGCATTTTTGTACATAGAATAAATTATGTTCAGTGCTTGATAAGATCAACTGAAAAGCTTATTTTACTACTCCATGACCAATCATACATAATTTCATGCATTTTATGTGTATACACATTTCTTTCATGTAACAAAAAACAAAAATAAACAGTGATAAAATCTAATCAAAAAATTACATATGTGCAAAAAAAGTGCAAAGTAGCAGACAAGTCTTAAAAACAAAGTAAAAATACAGTATATTTTAATGAATAAGTACTTCTCTAAGTAACTGCACTAAGGAACAATGTACAAAAAACGTTATATACCCTGAAGGTACGATCGTGCAACACAACAAAAATTAATAATAATTGAAATTCCATCAGTTTGTACTAGCCACGTTTGGGATTCCAGTAAGAACAGACTAGAACAAGACAGTATTTCAGGTGTACTCTTATACAAATCAACAAATATGCCTAAAACAAATATAAGTCATCAAAGTTATCCCATAAGCTCACCTGTAAACATAGTTCACTAACTCTAGAAACTGAGCATTTAGTTCTAGGTCATCAGGAAACCTCTTCTCAATAAACTGCATCATTTTTACCAAAAGAATGGACTTTTCACGTGGAGTAGGAGACTGGTTAACAGCTATTGGGGTTTTGCTCTTCACCCAATCTTCTACCATCTTTGTGATAGCTTTCAGAACCTTCACTTCAGGAGATTTTTCAATTAGTCCCACAAGAATGGTTCCAATGAAAGCTTTCCTCATTTCCTGCCCCATGACTCCCACTCTGTTCTTCACCAAATCTAAGCTCAGGATTAGAAGCTCTGTGCCCACTGTGTAGAAAAACACTTATAAAGCTTCTTGGATATTGTGTTTTTATCAACTTAATACACACTGACATAAATTATGGTGATTTGCATTATGCAATCACATACTGCATTGACCCAGTATCTTATAATCTAACTTAACAACAAACTAAATCAACCAATTATAAAAAGAAAGTAGAATAACAATGATCTCAAATAATAGATAATACAGATTTTCTGGGTTTTTAGCTTTCCAAGAAAAACAGATTCAGATCTCACTTAAATTAGATTGTTTTTGTACCAACTATGTAAAAAATAATGCTAACAAAGATTCTCATACACTACATCAATATCAATGTGTTTTCACACAGTCATATCAATCCAATCATTCTAAAATCCAATAACACAAGCCTGCAAAAGATGTAAATCCACCTCAAGTCATGGAGAATAATGAAGTAACTGATTAAATAAGGAGAGGAAACACTACATGGTCAATGAAAATTAATGTGTTTTATTGTAAAAAAATGGCATACTAACAATGGTAACAGAAAGATGTTTGTCAACTGTTAAAATAGAAATGAGATAAAATTGGTAGAATTCTTCTTTATAGTAACAAATTCTGAATATATCATTTCACAATGATGATTAATGTTTCATGAAAATGTATATATAAAGAATGTATGATAGAGAATTGAGAAATATTTACAGTCACAAAAATTCTTTATGTACTATTAAAATAGCATGTCAAATGAGCTGTTTAATATCACATTCTGAACACTTTCTATCTTCCAGTTATAAGAAATCATAGAATTGAACAAAAGTACGACTATAAAGGAAAATAATGTATGTTGGTTATTTTTATGCTTTCTTGAAAGCTACTAAAGTCACAGGGAATTATTTGTGCCCAAAGTACATCTTGGGCTTCAATTTTTGGAGCTTCTTTGTATCAAAACATTTTTCAGAAAATTTCATATTAACATTAAAACAAAGGCTAATAGCTAAACATAAATGAAGTAATACTTAGAAAGTTTTGGAAACTATATTTATGCTATTGCTCTGCATGGTAGACTTGTTAATGACTATGCAGTGTAGGAATCAATCATCCCATTTTATTCAACAAAATATTATTTGTAGCCTTCTATATGATAAATGCATATTTTTGTTAATTGAAGGTTCTTTTCAAAGAAATTCCCTGTCAAGAAGAAATAGAGTGTAGCAAATTAAGATGAAGGCCATTCTATTTTAAGTAAAAAAAAATTATCTTAATATCCAGAAAATTTTCCTGTATCATTTATTAGATCTAAACTATTCAAACAAACTATCACAAACCCCTCCTCCAGCATCTACTAAAAATACATTAAGTATTTGAAAAAGAATTTCATGACTAATTTAGTTACAAACCAACATTTGCTGGTTGTTACATTAGCCAATGTCACATTTAGCCAGCAAAGCATATTAAAGTGTCAATCCTTTTAACCAAGATGCATACGTTACTGTAATATCTTCTCAGGCAGAAGAAACATCACCTACTATAAAGACCAAAGAAATGATGCTACTAGAACAAGCTAATCTAAATGGTTTTTTTCACCACAAGTTGCTGCTGTTAAAGTATGGAAGCTAAATAACCAAAATATTTTAGACACATGCCTATATCCCTAAAGCAGGTAGAAAACCTACAATATGCTGCCATATTAAAAAGCAGTGTTTAAATTATTTGGAAAAAATTTCTTGTTCCTTTGCACATATACATAATTTTGTCTTGTACTTAAAATGATTAACCATCTTGAAAAAATCAATGATGGAAGTTTATATAACTAAATTGTTATTTAACTAAATGAACAACATAGCAAGAGAAAGTATAGTTTAGCACTATGAGTTATTCACTTAATACAGGCGATCAACTGTTAAGAAATCAGTTAGGATTTGACTAATCAACTTAACTGAAAGTCATGCTTGATAAAAAGTTATAATCGGTATAAAAATATGGGATCCCTGGCATTGTAACAGCCTCTGTGTTTGGGGACCATTCTTCTGATACACTAACATTATATGACAGTTGTTATTGTTTTTAAGAAAGAGAAACATCAAGCTTTCTGATAGATTATAAAACCATTGATATCCATATCATCCAAAAAATACCTTTAGATATTCTATAGGACTTAGGTCAGAACTTCTTGCAAGCTGTATTTCTTGATCAAGACAGCCCATCACAATCCTAGCTGTATGACACTTGGAATTATCATTTATCAAAACAGAGACTAATTGAATTGCACTTATGAAAGGTAATTATAGCTTCTCAAATACTATGTTAGTACACCTTCAGGCAGTAAATATATTCATCTGAAGCATAAAACAGAACTGTAAATCTATTTGTACCAGTGTATCCTTACATCATAATTAAACCACTGCTGATACTCTTATATATTTAGTTGAAATGCGCATATTTTTAACATTTGACTACTCACACACACAATCCAATGATTATTGGCAGAGACATGAAATCTTTATTTTGCTGAAAATAGTAAAGGGATACTTATGAAGTTACTGCCAATTTTGAGAACATCATCAACATTTAAAATGAGCTGTGTTAATCAGCTATTTGGTTGAAGCAAAGTCAGAGTATGTTCCTGACTGTCTGGACACTCAGAATAACTCAAATTACTGTCCTGATGTGCATGCTGAGTCCTTCAGTAGTGAGCTGGTAATGATGTTCTACAACTAGTCTACAACCATCCCACTAAACAAAAAAATAAGCTGCCACTTTTGTTTGTCAATTTTCTAATGTTTGAACAAGTTAACCCTTTTGAGACGGGTCACGGGTGAAAGGCATGTCATCTCGTTTGTTGACTAGCATTCAAAATATTATTGAACTACTATTTCATGAATTTATGTCAATAACTTTAGTATCAAACTGTAGATTATAATTCAAATTTTAGTACTATACATTACTGAATCTTTTGATTGAAAAGCAAATATTGAAAAACACAGATAAACATTGATTTTTGTGTGACATGTGATATGTTGAATGCAGCCCTGTTTCAAATTAGATGTTTCTGAAGTCAAAATACTAAGTCTGTAGTTTCACGCGAATTAGAAACTCAAACTACTGATATTGACAAGCTAGAATATAAAATAAGAGCCTCTTATCTTTTCAGTTTGCCAAGATATTGCTCATATAATAAATCAAACACAGTAGAACCCCACCACCTTACTTTTATATATATGACACGAATAATCAATTGGAAGCTCAGATTGTCCCCTAGTGGTTCTCTCAGCCATTTTAATGGTCTTGGTGCCATTTCTTACTTTTGAACAAATATTTCCATGAGGTAGGGTGTGTCTTTAGTCTGCTCAAAATTTCATATTTTTTCAGACTAAAATACATCTTAGTTACTAATCTTGATAAATTATAATGGAATTCTATGGTATTAATGTTGTAATTTATGAATTTTTTAGTTATTCAAATGTATATATAAAATCTAAAAAAAAATATTTTGTTTCATATCCTCCACATGCAAATTTTTTAAAGGCTTAGCAATCTACATCAAGCAGCAACCAAGTACAAAGGTTGTAACTAGAAGAGACAATTGTTTGTTTTACTTCTTTAGTTACTGTTCTATGTTTAAGAAAAAAAAAAAAGAGTTTAATAACTTATTTCAAAATATCAATAATATATATACATACATAATGTATAATAATTGAAATGTGACTGTATTTTACAAAATACTA